AATATGTAAGGTCATATCTATGTGGGTTTGATTACAGAAACTAATAAAGTATTCTCTAAATAATGAAAAAAAGAATAAGATAAGACTATAAGAGCAAGAAGCAATTTAAATATGTTCAGGGACCATTTTCATCTCCAGAATTAAGGATTATTTTAATGTTACATCATTGCCTTTTCTCTTTTACTTTCCTTTTTAGTTTTATTTTAGGATTCCCTATTTTTAATGTTCATACAGAGATTTCTTTAACTGAAATACCGAATAGTTTCTTTGGTGTGAAAAACTATAATAGTACACAGGATCCTAATGAGATAATTAATAATGTGAAATAGGAAGTAAAGGGCTAAAGGTGTAGGGAAAGTGGGAAGGGTGGGGGAAAGGTAATCAGGTAGAGGAAAAAATATGAGAAACTGAAAAATGGAAATAAAGTGTTTGTAAATGGGGAGGGGAGGAGGGGGTGAAGGGAGGGAAGGGACAAGGGGAAAAAATGAGAATCAAGACCTATTATGTAAAGGTACAGAATCCCAGTGATGAATGTAACTGTATTGTATACCTAGATTGTACCAATAAACTCAATAAAAAGAAAAAAAATTAAATTTGATGTCTAACTCACCCAATTTACAAATCCAATTCCACTGAAATTGTAGCTTTAAATGTGAAAAGCAAAAGTTTTAAGATAGAGAAAGAGTTTAATAGGACACACAAAAATACCATTTGTTACCAAAGAAAAGGTTGACTGGAATGCATTCAAATTAAAAATATTTGATCACTGAAACCAATAAAAAATAAAAGGGAATAAAAAAATGAATTTGCAGTGAAATAATAGGCTTACATCTACATCAAATGAAGAATTCCTACAAGTCAACAAGTACCCCTATTCAGTATAAAAACTAAGTGAGTTGAAGAACTGTTTCACAAAAGTATCTAAATGAACAGTGAACATAGAAAAGCACAAGCACCAGTAATCATCAAATTAAATGCACCAGGAAATATCACTACATATAGCACAATGATTAGAATTTAAAATATTTCCAATACTAAGTGTTGGTGAGGATGTGTAAAAACAGGAACTCCTATATATAGTGGCAGAGTGAAGTGTAACAGTCACCATGTAAAAGTGTTCAGCATTATCTACAAAGGCTAACTTGTCCATATTTTATGGCCTAGTAATTCTACACCTAGGTATAATCCAACAAAATGAGTATACATGTGTTAACAGGTTACTGATGAAACACTATTTATAGCAAGCACACACAACTGGAAACATCCTGCAGAAACATGTTTACTAAAATTGAGCTGAGGATGTTGCTCAGTGATAGAACATTTGTCTGAAATGTGAAAGATCCTGGGTTCCATTCCCAACACAGGAAGGAGAAGGGAAGAAATACTCACTAACATAGATAAACACCTATACACTACATGAATAAATCTCACAAGTACCTTTGAGCAAAAGAAGTCAAACACAGAAGATAATGTAACTGCACTTGTAGACTTCATTAACAAGGAAAACTAAGCTATAATCATAGAATTCAAGATGGGAGATACCTTTTGGGAGAAAGGAGGACTAGTGACTGGGAGGATGCATTCAAGCTAAATTTAAGATACTGGCAATATTCCATTTCTTGACCTGGGTAGCAGTTAAACAAATCTATTCAGTGAATTGTTCATTTATTTTATATGCATTTCTCCATACACTTTGAAAAGTTACAAATGGGAAAAAAATGAACAGGAAAGTTACAGAAAACTCCAAAAGCTCAAATGTGTACAAAAAGATGCTCATCATCATCAGTAACTAGAGAAATGTAAACTAAAGCAGATTCCACTTTACATATTTTTGGCTTTCTAAAAAATAGTTTCATTATATTGCGTATAGACAGACATGTACATAAGAAACTTCATTCACTGATGTCGGGAATATAGACTTCCCAGGACATTCTGAG